AAATTTATTTGAATCCTAAAAACTATTTGTTTAACAAATTAACTCTTAGTTTATCTAAAAAGTGATTCATTATTAAAGAGAGTTAACGTTTTTAAGCCCATAAAAAGAGTAAATTATATTAAGTTTCCCATCAATTATGTAGTATTGAGTAAATAAAACATTAGTATATGTAGTAAATTGAGGATTAATTTTAATTTGGTTAACACTATAGACTATCGAGATCACTTACACGTAACTTACAGATTTGATAATTGTTAATTAACAATGACAGATATGATATTATTTAATATCCAAATTTGATTATGTTTAATATTTATCTCTATATAATTAATACCTTTAATTATAAATTATAGTAAAAGTTTAGGAGATATACTGTATATATATGCAAGTTTTTGCAAACTACATAGATAATTTTTATAATTTTTGCTCAGACAATTATTTTAACAATTTTTAATCCTACGTTATATTCAAATTATTAAACTAAATGTGAATTTTAACGAATGGTTTATCAATAAAAATAAGTAATCAATTGTAAGAAATCAGTGAAGAATTGGTGGAAAATGAGATACAAATATACGGTTATTTGGGAATCAACTTCTTGTTCATTCTCTTTGAGCATAGAATCACATGAGAGTCCAGAAGACAGTGAAGATTCTTGTCGATGATTATGACAATATTGAACGGACTCAGTGACCAAAGATTATGACACCTCTTGGAGAGCCAGTACTTTGAAAAGTATGGTGTGTTGAGTCTCAACTCAACCACACGACTCCTTAGACGTCTAACTATGGGGTGTCACTCGCTGTACAACTCTTATTAAATTAAAACCTACATGATTATATAGCTTAACCATGGTAAATTAAGAATATCGGGGTCCGATCATCTATGGGAAGGTGGTCTGGTCATAATCCAGTGGTCAAGTTTGTGATATTCGTATAACGCTCTATACAAACTCAACAGACATTTGATGTGAATTCATGCATTATTTTTAAGACTCACTTTTATAGTATGAGTAATGTAAAAAAGTGAATAATGCTATAAAAACTTTGAAAATTATGCGATTATCGCAAACTTGACCACTGGATTATGACCAGACCACCTTCCCATAGATTATCGGACCCCGATATTCTTAATTTACCATGGTTAAGCTATATAATCATGTAGGTTTTAATTTAATAAGAGTTGTACAGCGAGTGACACCCCATAGTAAACACTAATGAATTCAATGAATACAAAATGTAAGTAATATACAAACATTGTACTCAGGTATAAAAGTTATGATAACCCTGATAACTCTGTGAAAACCTTTTGACACAAAAGAGATTTAAGAAAAGGTTTAGACTGAAAGTGAAAAGCATTAGAAAAAGAGTGCAATGAAAAGTACTATCAATAAAGTGTAATACAAACATGACTTTTAAAATACAATAATTTGTATGAACTTAAAAAAAGTAAAACTCATGTCTTATTCAGTACTCAGACTAAGGTTTGGACATAAAATGCTGACCGGATGTGACGCCTGGATCTTAAAGCCACTCTTAAGGATGCTTTCCTCCCTCACAACCATTCACTGAAGTATTAAATTAATTTTTATTGAAAACATAAACTCAGTCAATATTATAAAAGTAATTTTTATAAGAATTATTGGAGAATATTCTTTATAATTCTGTTACTTAGATAATAATCGCCCGAAGCTATCGACAAAATTATAATAAATGTAGCAAACATTTCACTCGTTTATAGCATTGTTAATAACTTTATAACTATTTCCACTTTTATGACTATATATCAACACATGACTGAATGTTATCGTCTATTATATTACTTACAAAAAACATAAAAACATTTATCGAGAGAATAAAATTCAGAAATACATCGTTTAATGAGAAGAGAAAAGAATTTTATTTTTATTTATTAAATAATTTATTACAATAATTATGCAATAGTTCATCGGAATATGTATAATAAAAATGGAAACAAAATAATAATGGTAATCAAAATGTATAATATTAACTAAATAATTAAATTTTCTATAATAATATGTGCATAAAATAGCGCCTATATTAAAAAACAGCTTAAAAATGGATTTCTCGACACTTAAAACAAGAATCAAAGCAAACAAACAATACATGTCTAAAAGCCAGGGGTTTAAGGCCTGGAATGCGTTGTCTATGCCTTTCTTGTCATCAAAAAACACTTTAATTTTTGTTTAAATGGTTTTTGTTATAGCGTTTCACTCATTGCCCTAAATGTGAGTATTCTTTAACCAAAAGGGCTTTATATCACAGTCACATAAACTTTTCGAAATAACTTATTATATATTAATTATTTTTAAATCACTTATTAATTATTAATCTTATCTCTCATATAATTGATAGAAAATGATATTCTCATCGTTTCAACAGAATATGCAATCAATAAAAATTGAGTTTTCAAATAACAATTAATTATAGATTTGTTTGTTTTGATAACAAAATACTTAATATTCAACATTAGTTTTTTTGGTGATACCAAAGAAGTACTTCCAATATCACGGTTTGATGTCACGTCAGGTTAAGAGTAATAAATAAATTCTGCTTTTTTGGTTGCCTTTTATATATCTTATTCTCCATTAGATGTAAACGTTTGGGGGATTCTCCTATTGATGTGTATGTCATCTCCCGTTCCGTTCTGCAAAGAACTCAACTTCTTATTCGTCACTTCGAGTCGAAACATCTCCGACTGGAGTTCTGCCATCCGGTCCTGTAGTTCGAGTGGATTCTCCGGTTCGGAACCGCTTTCCTTCAGTTTACTGATCGTTAGGTGTTCTTCGATCTAATCATTAGATTTTCGTTCAATTAATCACTTGTTTTCTGAGAAACCATTAATTATTTCTCAATTAAGACATACCTTAGCCTCGAGTGAAGAGATTTTCTGCTTGAGTTCGGCCACAGTCTGCGTTTGTTCCAACTCTTTGATGCGTTTCATCATCTGTTGCTCTTTCATCTGGAAGTCGAGATCCGCATACCGTCTCTTCTCGGCATTCAATGCGCTCACTGTTTGCCTCTCTTTTTCAGTCAACTCTTCGTAGCTGTCCTTCAATTTGTTCGCCTCGTCGGCCTGTCTTCTGATCTGATTAATGGACACCTGATTCTGTGTCTCCAATTCCATCAGCTTTTGTCTCATTTCCTTGAGTTCGGCCACAGCTTCGGCTTCCCTGAGCTTAGCGCCCATCAGTTCGTTCTTCAGTCGATTGATTTCCGCCGAATGGTCGGTGCGTTTGATGGCATTCCCCAACATCTTCATCGGACTCGACGTCACCGACAGAGATGACTGATTGGAACCGGTATTGCCTTCGAGACTATTGGGCTGCGAATTGCTCTGAAGAGATGAGTCGTTGCTTCCATGGGATTGAGACATGTGTTCGCTCCACATCTGCTGCAGATCTGTTATCTTTT